GGAATGGCATATGATGGGAAGAGCATGGGCTGTGAAGTCAGGAAGGCCTGGTTTCAGTCCTGGTCCTACAGCACACAGAGAGAGAGGTCAATTAGACTCTTTTTGAGTCTTGATTTCTTCCTCTGGAAATATAGCTCACATACTACCTCAGGGGGTTGTTATGAAGATTAAAGGAAATGTTTTATTTGATATACCTGGCATAGAATAAGCTGCCTAATAATGGCAGCTATTTGGAAGCATAGTGGTTTTGAGTCAGGTTGCTAACCTCAAGGTCAGCAGCTTGAAACTACCAGCTGTTCTACAGGAAAGAGATGAGGCTTTCTGTTCCCATAAAGATGTACAGCCTCGGTAACTCTATATAGGATCCCTATGAGTCCGAACTGACTCCACAGCACACCACCACCATCACCATCACCATCTCTGCAATATCTGTAATATGTCAGAGTCAGGGGGTCTCTGCAGTGCATAACTCCAAGGATTCCCATCAGCATTATAGTATATGTGGATGGTGCCCCCTAGGGTGGTGCAGTTACATGCAGCTGACAAGGACAAATTTAGCAGAGACGGAGCGTTTTTAGGAGACTGTAATGCAGGTGTTGGTTAATGCGCTAGACAGACAAAGTGGCTTGAGCTGCAAGGCCGGCAGTTCAAGCTTCACCAGCTGCTCCTCGGAAATCCTATACAGGGTTGCTATGGGTCAGAACTGACTCAACAGCACTTAACAACAACAACAATGCAGGAGTCCTGGTATGGCGCTGTAGGCTAATGCGCTGGACTACAAAGTTGGTTTGAACTGCAAGGCTGGTGGTTCAAGCTCAAAACCTACTCTTCTGAAACCCTGTACAGGGTCGCTATGAGTTGGAACCAAATCAATGGCTCTTCATAACAACAACAACAATGCTATTGGGGGGGGGGGGTTAACCTTAAAATGAATGAAGATGACTTCGAATATGACTTTCTGCTCTCTAAAGGGAAGTGAAGGATTGTCTGGATAAGGTTGATTTGTTCTTCATCTAGCAAATAATGCCTCCATCATTCCTTTAATGCCTACTCATAAAGCCGATCTAAATGTTGCACAGAATCCCATGTGTCCGTGGACACTGGCCACGGAAGTTCTGCTATCGGGTTCATATATCTTTTTCCACACATTATTCTTATAGAGTGTAGAACTTGTCAGAGACAAGGCAGGGAGAATGAGATGAAGATGGCATCATGGGAACTCAATCCCAGCTACAAAAGCAAAGCCTAAAAGTGTAGGTTTCCGTTTACAATACAATGTGCTGCTGGCAGGTCTTACTGGGATCATTCCTCTAAATCAACTGACCTCGTTGTCATCTTCTTCTAGGCACTTAAAACATGAATCTAAAAAATCTAGGATTCTAACAAAAGCTGGAAGAATTCTTGGAAAGAGTCTGGTTCTCTTCACTTGTTATGGAGTCCTGGTGTGGTGCTATGGGTTTCCAGCTGCCCCTTGGAAACCCTATACAGGGTTTCTGTGAGTCAGAACCGACTCAAAGGCACATAACAATAATGGTCAGTCATCATTGGAGACTAGAATAAAATGTAGGTTTCCAAGAGCAGAAGCTTGAGGTCAAACGAACCAGAGTTTAAAGTCTTGTCTCTAGCATACTAGTTGTGTGTCTTGAGCACTCTGAGTTTTTAGTATCTTTTTCAGAATAATGGGTGAAATAATACTACCTCCATAATTTTAGAAAAGTTAAATAAGTTTCTATTTTTCAGACCCAACATATACTACTGCTGCTTCAAGTGCCGTTTCACTAGATAAGAATCATAAATGTTCAAAAGCCCAAGATACTACTGTTGGGAAAAAAAAAAAAAGATCCACTAAAAAGCACTCGTGGTGTTTTTCTGCTATGGAAGCCTAATGAACAGCTTCACTTGGCTTATTTTATTTGTGATAGAGTATTCTCTTTGACTGGGAAATACAGAAAATCTCGAGTATGAGTCTCCCACAACAGTTTGAAAAAGCATGACCTATGTGGTTTGTTTTTCTAAAGGATTATCCCACGATCCATTACAACTTGAAGCAATTTTAGCATTTGGCAGATTTAAATGTAAGTTCAGATCAAGTAGTAATTGAAGTTTCTAGAGGTCACCTTTTAAGTGACCTTGTTAACTAGGACACAACCAAGAATCAACAAATGAACAAATAACTTTTTAAACTCATGCTTTAAAAGTCCTGGTTCTGTAAACCTTCACTCAATTCACAATAAGAAGTTTAAATGAAAAAAAATTTTTAAAGGCCTGTGAGTGTACCTTGCCTAATAAACTATGAACTCCTTCTTTACTATAATTCTAACAATGCTGATTTTCTCATTTTCCATTTTGCAGCAGAGGAAAGATAGCAAGTTAGATGAATAGAGCTGCTAAAGGCGTACTGACAGCAACAAGAAAACTTTATGGCAAGGTAAGGATACAGAAAAAAATACCAGTGAAGGAAAAATCCAGAAGTCAAAATTTAAAAAGAAAACAGCAAAAGGAGGCCTCTAATTTTCAAGACAAGGAGTTTTATATGCCTTAATCATGCCTGGTAATGTTTCACATAGCATGATTGTTGACATTTATTCAGATCAACTAGGAATGTCAAGTTGTTCCTTCAGGTTTAAAAAGTTAAAATAAAGCCTTGACACAAAGATTCCAGGAATGGGAAAAATCACTCGGGTGAAAATTTCCATTCTCTGTAATGGCAAATGAATAAGGCCTCAGTGGGAATATTTGCTGCGTTTAGGAAGGCTATCACGCTCCTTCACACTAACATTTTCCTCATTAATAGCAACTTGGCAGTTTAGCTGATTCTTAACCTATGAAAAGGTCAACTTGGTTCCTGAGCTGCAGACAAGTCCTTTCCCTTGACTGTTCCCAGCCTGCCTCCTCTCTGATTCTCATTCCCACAGTGAGCATCCCTGAAGAAGTCCACTTCAAGTAGCCTGACACTTCCCTCCCATGTCTCCCCGCCTCCTGGAGAACAAACTGCTCCTTAATCTACGTTTTCATAGCACCTCAATGACACTTCTAACCACATCAGTAAAACTGAATGGTTGCGGTGGTTGTTGTTGTTGTTAAGTGCCATAGAGTCCATAGGTCCACTCACAGGGACTCTGTGTAGGGTTTCTCTGAGAAGTATCTTGTGGGTTTGAACTGCTGACCTTGTGATTTGTAGTCCAGTGCTGATCTTACAGCACCACAGCAGGTAGTTTAGCCTCCAGAAAAGACTCCAAGATTCCTCAAGGCAAGAACCCTGTCTTATGTAGTCCCATCTCCCAGACCTGGAACAAAAGCAATGTTGAAACCTCTAGATTGTTAGGCATGCTTTCAGTAGGACATCTATGACAATAAGAGAGAATCTTTTCAAGTAAATATATTGTTCCACTTGTAAATTAATTTTGAATGGTTACTTCATCAGAAATTCATTGAACTGAGAATATTTTTAAAAAACGCAACCTTAACACCTCTTTGTCATCTCTCTTCGATAAAGTCCATCTGAAACCATCTGAGCCATGGTCGTAAGTCAAATGCTCAACTGCTAGCAGAAAGGTTGACATTTTAAGCCCACCTGGTGGCTCCACAAGTGAAAAGACCTGGAAATCTGCTCCCAAACAGCCTTGGAAGCGCTATGGGACTGTTCTCCTCGGTCACGGGGAGCTGATATAAGTTGGAATCAATTCAATGGCAGTGGGTTTGGAGGAACCATAAATATTGTACAGGTTAAAGCATTTAATATTTTGTTCAACAAGTAACTGGTGTTTGTCTAGTCATATCATTCAAATTACTAAGCTTGAAGACAGGAAAAGCTAAGATAACCCACTTGTAAAATTTTTTGTACTAGCACCACCTTAGTCCCTGAGATACTTCATACGTAATGTTTATTGCTTTAATCAAATTAAATTTGAAGGTTAAGCTACAAAATACACTTCGTGCTTTGATTTTTATTTGAAGTGATCTATTACCAAGGAGCATATCCCACCTAAACTTAGAGATCAT